CTGCTTGGGCTCGGCGTAGCCCACGCCGCAGAGGCTGGCGCCGTGGGTCTCGGACGTGCACGCGGTTGCCCTGAAAGCCCGCCGCGCGGCGGCGAGCAATTCGGGCGCCGCGGAGAGTCTCGAGCCAGCGCGCCTCCATGGAGCGCGGCACGGTCGTGCGCCCCCCTCGAACGCGGAAGTCGGCGGCCTCGAGGGTCCGAACCCAGAGATGCCCGGGGGCGCCGAACCAGCGTGCTCGCGCACGACCTGAAGTCGCCGCCGCCAACCGACACTGGATGGGACGGGAGCCGGAATGCGCCACCGTCAAGCCGTGCACGGACAACGTCGCGCCGGACTCCCAGACGAGCAGCGGGCCCGCCATGGTCGGGCCGCCCGGGGGGCAGCGACGACGGCGCGAGCTGCGGCACGGGCTGGCTCTTGGGCTGCTTCTAATGCGCTCTAGATTAGGCCTGTGGCGGCGGCAACGCGGGCTTCAAGCGCGTCGACGCGCCGGGTGAGGCGCCCGACAAGTCGCCCGACGACGATATGCGCGCGGCACTGTGCGCGGTCCTCGATCGCGTCGACTACGGCGTGCGGGAGCGGCGTGCGAGAGACGAGCGGCGCCACGCCGAGGACGCCGCGCGCGCAAACCCCGTGGCCTGCTTCCTCTCGTACTAAATTTGCAGAGCAGATGACACGCTCGTGGAGCTTGGCTGCTTGAAGGCTTCAGTGAAGCGAAAGTGAGGAAGCCGCCGAGTCAGCGCTCTCGCCGCCGCCGCCACGAGATCCGCGCCGCCGTCGCGTCGTCCGCGCCGCCGTCGCGTCGTCCGCTCCCATCGCCACCGCGCCGATCGTCGTCGCCGCGCAGCCGCACAGAGACCACCTCGCGATCGCGATGCTGGCCCTGCTCTTCCTCGCGCCGGCGGCGCTGGCCTTTGGCGGCGGCCCGAAGCGCCCGCGCGGCCTCGCCCTGCGCGCCGGCTCGGCGGCCGTCGAGGAGCGCGCGCCGGCGCTGACGCTCTACCGCGACACGAACGGCTGGTGCCCGTTCTGCGAGCGCGTCTGGGTCGCGCTGGAGAAGAAGGGCATCCCCTACGACGAGGTGCTCATCAACCTCCAGGACAAGCCCGACTGGTACAAGGAGATCGTACCGACGACGCTCGTGCCCGCGATCGAGTTCCACGACGACGCCTGGGACGCGTCGGCGCGCGGCTCGGGCCGCCTCGTCTGGGAGTCCGCGGACATCCTGGCGGCGCTCGACGCCGAGTTCGGCGGCCCGGCGCTCGCCGGCGCGGAGGCGCCGCTCATGAAGCGCGTGCTCGAGACGTCCGTGGGCTTCGTCTACGGGCCGTCGAACCGGACGGCGACGGAGCTCTTCCTCGCGGAGCGCGCCTTCGCCAAGGCGCTCGACGCGCTCGACGCGGACCTCGCCGCGCGCGGGCCCTTCGTCCTCGGCGCGGACCTGTCGGCGCGCGACCTCGAGCTCGTCCCGACGATGGAGCGCTTCTACTACCAGCTGCGCGTGCTCAAGCCCGACTTCCCGCCGCTCGACGCCGGCCGCCCGGGCCTGGAGGCCTGGTTCGCCGCCATGGACGCCGAGCCCGCCTACGGGCGCCGCGTCAAGGGCGACGCGTACTCGTGGACGGCCGTGACGAGCTCGTTCCTCCGCATCTTCCGCAAGGACGACCCGGCGACGGCGGCCAAGGTCGCGGCGGCCGACGCCGCGGCCGCGGCCATGCTCGACGCGTGCGTCGGCGACCGCGCGGCGCTCCGCGACGCGCCCGCCGTCGCCGAGGCGCGCGCCAAGCTCGCGGCGAACCGCGCGGCCGTCGCGCGCGACGCCGCGGACCCGGAGCCGAAGACGCAGCCGGGCGTACCGCGCGCCGCGGCCGTTGCGTCCGCGGACGCGGCCATCGACGCGGCGCTCGACGACCTCCGGCCGCGGCGCCGCGTCGCGCGCGCGCTGCGCCGCGTCCGCGGCGCGGCCCCGCTCGACGACGACGCCCGCGTCGCCGCGGCGGCCATCGCGGCGCGCGTGTGCGCGCCGCGCGACATGTCCGCGCCCGCGGCCCGCGCGCTGCGCCACGTGCTCCTCAAACGCGCGTAACCGCGGAACGGCATCCCTTAGAGCTCGGCCTGCTTCGACTTGCGGGCCGTCACGCAGGACGTGTCGCCGCGGCGCTTGATCTTGGCCTGGAGGAAGAGCTGGTAGGCCGCCTGGAAGTTGCCCGCGGCGCCCGGCTTGGCCGTCGCGAGCTCCTTGCGCAGCTTCCAGGCCGGGACGACGAGCGGCGTCGCCGGCGGCAGGACATTCGCGTCGAGGTGCGCCTGCGTCGGGAACTCGTTGCCGTCGGCGTCGAGCGCGCCGAAGAGGACCGTGTAGTCCGCCTCGCCGAGGTGGTTCGCCTCGGACGCGACGCTGTTCATGGCCCGCGCGACGCAGGTCTCGTCGACGGCGTAGTCCTCGGAGTAGGTCAGCGCCCAGGACGGGAGCCGCGCGTCGTAGGCCGCGAGGTACGCCGACGCCTCGGCCTCGTAGGCGACGGCGAGCCACGTCCCGTCGACGGCCGCGGGCTTGGCCGGCGCGGGCCGCGCGCGCGCGAGCCACGCCGGCGCGAGCGGTTTCGCGAGCAGGGTCTCGAAGGCTTTGGCGACGGTCGCGCGGGACATCATGTTTTTGATTTTGGCGCGCGCCTTTGCCGCGTCCGCCGCCCGGAAGCCCGGCCCCTTGTCGAGCGCGCGGCCGAGCGCGGCGGCCGTGCCGTTGACGCTCGGCGTCGCGACCATGCCCTTGACCATGTACTCGGTCTGGAGGATGGGCACGGCCTCGCCGTACCACGTGTAGTCGCCCATAGCGAGGAAGTCGGCCGTGATCGCGGGCGTGCCGAGGAGCTGCGCTTCCAATATCGGGATGCCGAAGCCCTCGACGCGGCTCGGCATGAGGAGCACGTCCGCGAGGGCCATGAGCTCGAAGGCCGCGCCGATCTCGTGGATGACGTCGTCCCAGACGTAGGACCCCTTCGGCAGGCCGCTGTGCTCCGCGATGGACTCGACGTCCGCGCCGACGTCGGGGCCGCCCTGCGGGTTCCCGAAGTTGTCGTTGATGCGCTTCACGGAGATGGCGTGGACGTAGAGGAAGAGCTCGCGGCCCCCGGGGGACGACCGCGCTTCGTGGAACTTGGCGAAGGCCATGAAGGAGATGTCGAGGGCCTTGCGGTTGTAGTTCTCGTAGTTGCCGCAGTGGATCAACGCGACGAACGCGTCCGGCGGCATGCCGCGCGCCTTGCGCCGCGCGGCGACGTCGTTGACGGGTGTGAAGGACGGCGGCGGTTCCACGGCGTGGGGGATCGTCGTCACCGTGACCTCCTTGGCGAGGCCCAGCGCGAGGGCCCTGTTCGCCGACGGCGCCTGGGCAGGAAAAGAGTGCGACATTCCGACCTTCAAAGGCTCCTCTCTCGGTCGTGTTCCGCTCGTTTCGGCTCATTTTTGGACGAGCGATGATCTCTCGGAGCGCTCTCGACGCGTGCATGCTTTCTCCGGAACGCGCGCGCGCGCGGAATACTCACATTGAAGCGACGTTGAATCACCCTGTTCCTGCTCTGGACGGCGCGAGCGCGACGATGTCCGAGTACACGTTGAGCGCGCGCGCAAAGTCCGCGTCGATTTTGGCGAAGTGGAGCGGGAACCACGACGCGAAGCGGACCCGCGCGTTCTCGTCGGGCACCATGCGGCCGACGTCGCTGAGCGAGATGACGCCGTCGACGGCGAGCTCGGACGCGATGCGGTTCACGTCCGAGATGCGGAAGCCCTCCGCGGGCCGCTCGCGCTTGTCGAGGCCCAAGTAGCGCACGCGGTCCCAGGGCTCGCCGACGAACTCCTCGGGCGTCGGCGGCCGCTTGCCCGCGGCCTTCGCCGCCGCGGCGTGGTCGTCGTGGTAGCCCGGGTGGTGGAACATCCACGTGCACCAGGTCACGTCGTGGCCCAGGTCCACGAGGCCGTTGGCCAGCTTCCAGCCCTGGTCCGTGTAGGCGCCGTAGAACCAGGGGAAGTTCGCGACGAGCAGGAGGATGTGCATCCTTTGGGGTCGGGTCGTGCGATGGATCCGCGCTCGGCGAATTTCTGCGATCCTCGCACTTGGCACTGCGGCAAAAAATAGGCCTGCGACGGGCTCCGGCGACGGTCAGCCGCCCGCTCGGACACCCGGCGCTTGATGCTCCCCCCCCGCGGTCGTCGGGCCCACGTCTACAGCCCCTTCCCCCCTAGGCCGTCGCGCTCTTCTTGAGGAGCGCGGCGATGTCGCCGTCGGCCGCGACGTCCGCCGGGATCTGCCGCTTGCCGTTCGTGAGCTTGACGGACGCGCCGTTCTTGAGGAGGGCGTTGACGAAGGTCGGGAAGCCGATCATGGCCGCGTAGTGGAGCGCCGTGTTGCCCGACGCGTCCTGCGCGTCGAGCTCCGCGCCGTACCTGGGTCGACGTTGAACGTGAAAAAAAAGAAACCGTCGCTCGTCGCGCGTCCGCCCCCGGCCGAGCGGCGCGGTCGCTCGTCCCGACGCGGTCGCTCGTCCCGAACGCGGGCGAAGCCCCCGAGCCGGCGCGGGCGCGGCGCTCGATGAGTTTCGCGGCGATGGCGTCGCCGCCCGTCTGCGCGGCGACGTGGAGGGGCACCGTGCCCGTCTTCGTCGCCGCGTTGACGTCCGCGTTCTTCTCGATGAGCCGCACGAGCACCTAAAAAGAACGACGTCGCGGCCCGCGCGCGCCGCGACGCGGGCGCCGGGAAAACGCGCGTTGAGCGCGCCCGCCATGGCGGCGAAGTGGAGGGCCGTGGCGCCGTGCTCGTCGCCGGCGTTGGGGTTCGCGTCGAGGTCGAGGAGGAGCGTGCACGTCGGCTCTCTCATGTGGTTGATCGCGTGGTGCAGCGGGAGGAGGCCGCCGTAGCCGGCCTCGGAGACGTCGCCGCCGTTGTCGACGAGGTACTGGATGGTCTCGACGTGGCCCGCGCGCGCGGCGTAGATGAGGGGCGTCGCGCCCGAAGCGTCCTTGGCGTTGATGTCGAAGACGACGCCGCTCTCGTCCGAGCCGGCGGACGCGTCCTCGACGATCTTCCGGAGCGAGTCGTTCATGCCGAACATGGCCGTGCGCCAGAGGTCCGTGTCCACCGTCGCCTCCTTGATGACGTGCTCCTCCTGCTTCTTCTTCCCCATGGTCGGGCCGCGGGACGAGGCGGGCTGTCGGGGCGCCCCCACCGCGTTGCTCACGGTTCGACCAGGGCAACCAAATCTTTCGCGGCCGACGGTGCCGTCGCGACGGCGCGCGCGCGCGGCGCGCGACTAGGAGGTCACCGTGACCGCGCTTTACGCCTCGCGCGCCGCTCTTTCTTCTGTTTTGCGAGCGCCTTCTTTTTCGAGGCGTTTTCGGAAGATCGAAGAAGGGCTGCAAGGGGCAAGTCGAAGGGCATCAGGATTTGGGCCTCTTCGGCGGACATCTCCGGGAGCTTGCAGAACTCAGCGTGGTGCTTGTTCCAACAAATGACGTGCGAGACGTTCTCCCCATTTCCCTCTTCCTCGAATCGTATGATGACGACGACCGCGGCCGCCAGATTCTTGAAAGACTCATCCAACTTTTCGTCCTCCCACAGGCAGGCGGGGTTGACGGAAGCCATGGCTTGTTTGTAGGAACCCGCCTTCATCTCGATCGACACGTGTCGCACCAGGTCTGGATTTCCGTAGATCGGTTCGGTCTGGTCGTGCTTCTTCGCGGCGTCGATCCCGGCCTGCAACATCGCGTTATGGAGATAATTCGAAACGGCAATCGTCTCGAGGATGAACGGACACCCGTACAGATAGACGGGGGCGGACCACGCCGCTTCGTCGATGATGTGGTGTTCGTCGTAGTCCCTGCCGGGCGGCGGATGGATGAACGTCGTGTCGACGGGGAACTGCTTCGGCAGCTGCTCGGGAGTCCAACGGGTGACGCCGTCGTCGGATCGGCACGCGGCGAGGGCCTGGTGGAGCTCGACGTAGAGCGGCCGCCGCGCCTCCCAGGCCTCGTCGTCGAAGTCTACGAGGTAGTCGTGGACCAGCTCCGCCTCGAGCTCGCGGAGGCGCTTCAGCCGCGTCCAGCTGCACCGGCCGTTCAGGTGCTCCTCTTGCGCGCGCGCCACCCAGCCGGGCGGGCGCCGGTAGAAGTCGTGGCAGCCCGGCGGCGCGTTGACCGCGTGCTCCCAGTCCGTGACGTTCTCCGGCTTCTTGAGTTCGATGCGCGCCCATTGGAACTCGTCGTTCGGGATGGCCATGTCGTGCGCGGGGATGTCGACCGCGACCGAGACGACGGCCGGCCCCGTTTCGCCCCGAGACTCGCGCGCGGCCGCGGCCACGTTCTCGAGGAGCGCGATCGTGGCCCGGGGGTTGAGCGGTGTCTTGCCCCGCTTCCAGGTGATGACGTAGGACGCCGGGTCCGTGCTCGGCGTAAGGCGGAAGTGGAAATACATATACTTCTCCCGGAACTGGTCCAACATGTTGAGGCAGGCGTGGCCAATGTCCATGACGTCGCCCGTGACTTCGACGTCGAAACCGAAGCCGCGGTAGACGACCTTGACGTACCGATGGAGCGTCTCGCACGAGGGACACGTGCCCCGCCGCGCGAACCAGCTCCGAGCGCACGCGCTGTGGAAGAGGCAGCCGCAGATCAGTCTCGTCCCCGTCGATTCGTCCGCCACGCGCGCCGAGCACACGGCGCACACCTCCTTGCCGCGCCGACTCGTCCACAGCGCGGAGGACACTCCTTCCCTCAGCTCGCGACAGCGCGGACGGTGCGCGCTCCAGTCCTTCTTTTGACAAGCCCCACCGCAGTAGCGCGGGGTCAGACAGGCTGCGCACTGCAGCTCCGTCGCCACCCCGCAGACCGCGCACGGCCGCGGCGTGGGCATGGCCAAAAGCCCGAGTGCGTTCCTATGTCCTCAGCGCGGCTGCGACGTCGTCATCGCTCCGCAAGCGCGAGAGCAGGGCGCCATTGCTCTCTGCGGCATCTTCACAGTGAAGTCACGGTGCATCGACAGCGTCCTTCACTTCGCGCGGGAATGGCGCGAGCGGCGCGGGACTTGGCGTCCGTTCACACTTCGTTACGACAGGGGGGGGGGGGGGGCGGGGGCTGGACATGCGTGGCTTTCGGTCGCTCAGGGCTCGATGCCCGGGAGCCCCGTCGACGCGTCGACGGGCGCGCCCGCGACGGGCATGGGCTCGAAGGAGTTGGGGACGATCTGGGGGATGATGTTGATGGTCTCGGGCTCGACGACGGGCACGGTGTGGACGACGTCCGGCGGCGGCGGCGGCGCGAGCGGCGGCGGCGCGGCCGCGACGACCGGCGCGACGGCGCCGAGCGGCTCGACGGCCGCGACGGCCGCCTGCTCCACGGCCGGCGCGGGCGCGAGGGCCGGGAGGGGCGCCGCCGCCGCGGCGACGGGCGCCGGCGCCGGCTCGAGGCGCGGCTTTTTGGTCCCGTGGTGCGTGTGGTGCATGATCTTCCAGTGCTGCTCGACGCCGCTCGGCGTCCGCCCGCTGTCGAGGCGGTCCGCGATGGCCTGCCACTTGCCGCGGCCGCCGAGCTCGCCGACGAGGCGCCTGAGGCTCGCCTCCTCCTCGGCGGTCCAGCGGTGCGCGACGGACCGGCTCTTGGCGCCCGCGCCGCCCTTGCGCTTCTCGCCGGCGTCGCCCTCCTTGCGCGCGCCGTGCATGATCTGCCAGTGCTGCTCGACGGCGCCCGGCGACCGGCCGGAGTCGAGGCGGGTGCTGATGGCGAGCCAGTTGCCCCGGGGGCCGAGCTCGGCGACCAAGCGGCCGAGCGCCGCCTCCTCGTCGGCGTTCCACCGCGCGCCGCCCTTGTCGCGCGCGGCGCCCCCGGCGGCCGCCGCGACCGCCGCGACCGGCGCGCCCAGGCCCGGCACGAGCGGGGCGGCGGCGCCCGCCGGGGCCAACGTCGCGCGCGCCTGCGCGTGCGCGCCCTTGGACTTGCGCTGGCCCGTGACCTGTGTGGAAATCAACCAGTGAGCTCGATTATCCCCGCCAAACTTCTCTCGCTCGGTCGCGTCGACGTCGATTCGGCCGATTTTTGGACGGATCGTTTTCTCTCGTCGAGTTCTCGAAGCGCGGCGGAAGAGCTCGCGTCGAAACGGTCGCATGCGCGCACATTGAAGTCGGGTTGAAGATACTCGCGCCGGCCCGTGACGATCTGCCAGTGCTGCTCGACGGCGGACGGCGACCGGCCGCTGCCGAGGCGCTCCGCGACGACGGTCCACTTGCCCTTGCCGAGCTCGCCGACGGCCTGCTTGAGGATGGCCTCCTCCTCCGTCGTCCACCGCGCCGACGTGCGCCGCTCCGCGCCGGACCGGCCGTCCTTGTTCCCGAGCTCGCCGAGTTTCGCCTGCTCCGGGTTCTGCTGCTCCTTGGGGATCGTCGTGCCGTTGCGCTGGCGCTGGCCCGTCATGACCTGCCAGTGCTGCTCGACGCCGGAGGCCGTGCGGCCCGTGCCGAGGCGCTCCGAGATGAGCTGCCACTCGCGCTTCGACCCGTGCTCCCCGACGAGCCGCTTGAGGTGGTCCTCCTCCTCGTTGTTCCACCGCGCGCGCGCGACGCCCCGGGCGCGCGGCGGGCCGGCCTCCGGCGCCTGCTGGCCGGCGCCGGCGTCGGGCAGGGGCGGGGGCGGCGCCGCGGCGGCCGCGGCCGCGGCCGGCGGCGGCGCCGCGGCGGCCGGCGGCGGCGCCGCGGGCCACGACGGCGTCTCGGGGATGATGTTGATGGACCCGGGCATGACCGGCGCGAGCGCCGAATCGGCCTCCGGCAGGATCGTGTGCACCGCCGCGTAGCCCAGCGGGGCCACGGCGGCGTCCTGCATAGTTGAGGCGACGAGTTCTCCGGTTTCGGGAGAGCGGCGGCGGGCGGCGCTGCGTCGGGCGCGGAATTGGCGGCGGACTGCGTTCACGAAGAGGCAGCGGCGGACCGCGATTTCGTGGGCGGGCCCGGGGGATAGGGGCCGGCTTCGGACGCTTCGGACGCTCCGCAACTGGCTTAGCGTCTATAGCCGTGTACTAATGCTCACGTCGTCTGCGTCCTAGCGATACACAGCCGATACGGTAGTTCAACTTGGATAAAGTTAAGGATTGCGCATGCCCTGTTTCCGCTCTGGTTCGCGCGTAGAAGCCCGCCAGACGCGTCGGCGCGCCCCCCGCCACACCGACCGCCACGGCCACGGGTCCGAGTCGCGGCATACGGAGTTCGTCAGGGACCCCCCCCCGTCCCCAGCCACGGAACACCGCCGTTACCGCCGCTTCCCCCGCTTCCCCTTGCCCTTGGCCGGCGCCGGGGGCTCCGCGAAGGTCGCCTTGCGCGGCGCGGCGTCGACGCGGGGCGGCTTGGGCCGCGGGGCCCGCGTCGCGGCGTCCGCGCCGCGCGGCGGCGCGGCCGGCGGCGTGCCCGGCCGGGGCTTCGGCGAGCCCGGCAGGCCCTCGGCGTCGAAGGAGTTCGACGGCCGCGCCCGGTTGGGCCGCGGCGCCGCGGGTTGGGCCGCGGCGTCGCCGTAGCCGCACGCGAGGCCCGCGAGGCAGATCGACGACAGCAGCTTCAGCTGGAAGAGCAGGACCGCGAAGCCGGCAAGTATCACCGCGAGCTCCGCCGTGCCCAGGTCCAGCGACAGCCGGAGCCAGTTCGACGCCAGCGACAGGTAGCGCAGGGACACGCACGCGAGCGGCAGCACCGCGAACCCTAATCGCCGCGTCACCGCGTGCGTGTGGTCGAGCGCGAGCCCCCCCTGGGACCGGCCCGTGACGACGTCCCGCGCGAGCCGCGCCGCGTAGGCGTCGAAGACCGACGCGTCGAGCCGGTTGAACTTGGCGACGAACGCGTGCTTGAGCCAGTCGGCCACGACCTCGAACCCGAAGACGACCGCGCTCTGCGCCGCCACCACTCTCAGCCCCGAGGAGCGCTCCTCGGCGTCGCCCGCGACCTGGGACCAGCTCAGCAGCGTCAGCAGGCAGAGGAAGAGGAGCAGCTTGAAGCGCTCGCAGACGTCGGAGCACGCGATGTCGAACAGGTTCGTCGCGTTGTACTTCTTGAAGACCGCGCTCTTGATCTCCGAGAAGTTGTTGGACACGAGCAGCGCGACGAGCGCCGAGTCCTCCGACGCGTTGACGACGACGTTTAACGTCGTGAGGTGCGTGTAGAGCAGGAGGCTATGCGAGACGACGACGACGTTGACGAGACCGAAGAAGAGGAGCACGCGCCGCCACTCCGTCGCGTGGCGCGTCGTCAGGTAGAAGGAGTCGAGCGCGTCCTGGGAGAAGGCGCACAAGAGCCGGTCGAAGACCTCCATGATGCCCACGATCACATAAAGCTTGATCGTGTTCTGGCCTCTGATCCAGTGGTACGCGCGGCTCAGGGGCACCTGCTTGAGCACGTAGTTGACGAGCAGGATCGTCAGGAAGCGCGCGAGGTCGTAGGCGCGCGCGCGGCTGAAGCCGTCGAAGGCCGTGATCGCGTAGGACGGCCGCGCCGCGCGCTGGCTCGTCGCGCGGCGCCACGCCTCGAGCGCGAGCCAGCCCGCGGCGATGCCCGCTCTCAACGGGAGGAACGTCACCGTGTAGAGGAACGTGTCGAGGCACGCGAGCACGCCGAAGGCGACGAAGCGCTCGAACTTGGCCGGCACCGCGAGGAAGTTGTCGATGGCCTCGGGCACCGAGTCGTCCAGACCCGCGGAGTGGCGCTCCCCAAAGGCCTCGGTCTTCGCGAAGGCGAGGAGCCCATGCCAGGCGCCCGCGGGCGCGTCGCGGCGGCCGCCCGACGGCGACCGCGCGGGCGACGACCGGCCGCCCGTCGGCGACGACACTCGGAAGCCGCCGTCGAACTCGAGCTCCTTCGACTTGCCGCCGTAGGCCGCGGCGACGAGCGCGCGCGGGCTCCGGCTCCGCCGGTCGCCGGGGCTCAGGGACCGCGACGGCTGGCACCGCTCGCGCGACAGGCGCCGCCCGCCGGACCGCGGGCTCGCGCCGTCGGCGGACGTGAGCACCGGCGGGGGGCGCGACACGGCCGACGGCGTCGCGTCGAGCGCACCCGGCGACGCGACGTCGTAGTCGACGAACGACGGCGCGCTCGTGCCGCGATGCAGCATGCTGCTGCCGGGCGCGACGCGCGGCCGGCGCTTTTGGAGAAGCTTGCCGGCGGCGCCAACTAGGCTTCAAGCGTGCTTCAACTTGCGAGACGAGCGCGCCGCGGCGCGCGCGGCGTGGGAGACGCCCTCGTCGCCGCGTGCAACGAGGCGCGGCTGGAGAGGCGAAAAGGCATTACAGCTCCCCGGCGTCCGCGAGCTCGCCGCGGCGCGCCGCGAGCCCCTCCTGGAGGCGGCGGATGCGCGGCCGGAACTCGTCGTCGGCGAGCTCGAGCGCGTCGACGAGCGCGGAGTCGGCCGCGTCGAGGCGCGCGGCCGTCACGGTCGCGTCCGCCGCCGTGAGGATCATGAACGCGAGGTTGAAGTGGAGCCTTGGGTCGGGCTCGACGCCGATGGCGAACTCGAGGTCCTCGATGGCGCCCCGGAGGTCGCCGCCGGCGCGCCGCTCCTTGGCGCGGTTCGTGAAGAACGCGACGGACCGGGCCCGCTCCTCCGCGGGCTCGCGGCGGTAGACGACCTGCGCCCGCCGCCGCGCCGCCGCGTCCTCGCCGCGCTCCGCGAGGTACTGGCTCATGATCCAGTGGCACTCGTCGACGTCGAAGAGCGCGCCGTCGCAGAGCCGCGCGTACTCCGTGCCCGCGAACTCCCAGAACCGCGCGCGCTCGTCGTCGCCTGCGCAAAAAAATCGACGTCGTCTTGGCTGCTCAAGTTTGGGACGAATTCATCGCTCTCGAAGCGCGGCCGAAGCGTCCGGTCCGTCGAAGTCGCGTCGAAGGGTCGACGTCCGCGCGGGCCGTCGCGGAGGCCGAAGCGGTCGCCGCCGAACTTCGTCGCGACGACGAGCGTCCTCCGCACGCCGCGCGTGACCTCGTAGACGCGATGCGGGGTCGACGCGCGGTACACGTGCAAGTCGCCGCGGCCGAGCGAGACGTTCGTCGCGCCGACCTGGAGGGCGCCGCCGTCGTAGTCCCCCGGGTCGCTCAGGACGACGTTGACGTTGAGGAAGCGGTGCTTGTCGTCGAGGACGTCGTTGGGCGTCGCGTCGACGTGCCAGCCGAAGCCGTCCGCCGCCGCGAATTCGTGGAGCAACACGAATTCGACGCGCTCCGCGAGGAACGACGACACGTCGGCCCAGCGCGCGCCGCCCCAGGAGTCGTCGGCCGCGAGGATCTTCGCCATGACCCAATCGAACGCGCCCGCGGCGAGGGCCGCGCCGCCGAGCCAGCGGTTCGTGCGGCGCACCTGGAAGTCGTCCCGCACATCCCTCGACGGCTCCGAGCCGTCGAAGAGGGCGACGATGCGCTCCGTCTCCTCGACGCTGAACAGGCCCGGCACGGACCGCGGGTAGGCGGAGCAGGTCGCGGCGACGACGAGCAGAAGGCGTTGCGACCACATGTTTGAGCGCACAGTCGCGGCCGCAGTAGGACGCGGCGCGGCAGCAACACACCACGTGCGAACCTGCGGCATTTATTTAGCGAGCGCCGAGACGATGCGCGTCGCCGTCGTCGCGCTCCTGTGCGCCCTCGCGCACGGCCGTAGGCGCAGGCGAGGTCGACAAAAAGCCGAATCGAACGCGACGAAGGCGAAGGACGTCTTTCTGTTGGCGAGCTATCCGTCCGCCGGCGCATCCTGGGTGCGGAATATCTGGGACCTCTCGACGGGCGTCGCGTCCCAGAGCGCGGACGAAAAGCACCCCGGCGACGTTTTTAGTGCGCGGTCGCGGTCCTGGGGCTCGCCCTGCGGGAGCCGGCGGCCGCCGGACGAGCGCCTCGAGTCGTCGAAGCGCTGCGGCGTCGTGCGACCTGCCGCGGCCGGCGACCCAATCGTCGTCGCGACGCGGTACCCGGCGCGGCCCGAGGGCGGCGACCGCCGCGGCGCCGTCGAGGGCATCGTCGTGATCGACCGGAGCCCGCGGTCCTGGTGCGCGTCCGCCGCGCGGGCCGCGGCGCGCGGCGGCGCGGCCGACTGCGAGGCGGCCGTCGCCGCGGAGATGCGGAAATTCCTCGACTTCTACCTGAAACCGGCGCCGGGCTACCACGCCTTCCCGGTCCTCGTGCTGTCCTACGACCGCATGGCCGAGAGCAACATCTCCGCGACGCGCGAGATGCGGCGGATGTACGACTTTTGCCGCGCGCGGCCGCGGCGCAACGGCGTCCGCCGGTACCCGGCGGGCGCGCCGCACGGCGCGGCCGCGCCCTGGGAGCCGCCGCGGTCGCCGATCATCCAGGCCGCGCACGACCGCTACGCCGCGCACGGGCCCCGCGTGAACCCCCTGCTCCCGGAGAGGAGGCGCGGCGGCTTCCTCGAGCCCAAGGAGGGCGAGTTCGGCGTCTTCGAGGGCGTCTGGATCTCCGGGCCGAAGAAGCCGCCGTCGAGCGAGGACCTGCCCCGGCCCCGCGACGACGACGCGCCCAAGTCCTAGGGAGCGGCCACTATATATGAGTCACTTTGCGTGCGGTAGGCCCTCGGCGCCGGGCTGGGCGTGCTCATGAAGGCGCGAATTCACCACGACCGCGCGCTGCGACGCCCCGGCCGCTATCAATGGAATGCTCCCATAGCTGCCAATGCTCGGCCTGGAGTGCAAGGTTTCCGCAGTAGCTGAGTTGCCTCCACCCCCGCGCCTAGCGTTTAGCCGGCGCCGGCGGGGCGTCGCCGCTCGTTTCAGGCGGTCGTGTGGAGCGTGGCGAGGAGCGTCGCGGTCTCGCGCGTGACGTGGGGCTGGAGGTCGTCGGGCGAGTCCTCGAGGCCGCGCTGGAGGAGCACGTGGAGCGCGGCGTCGGCCGCGGCCTTGCGGACGAACTGGTCGCGGAAGGCCGACAACAGGTCGTCGCGCGAGTCCCCCGGCGCCGCGCAGAGCGCGTTGAGCAGCTCCAGCGCCCGGAGGTGGGCCCGGTGGCGCTCGCCGTCGCGGCCGTCGAGCGCGAAGCAGTTCTTGAGCACGTTGCGGAGCCGCGCGAGCCCTCTCTCCTCGAGGAAGAGCGCCAGGAGGCAGCGCTTGCCGTGGGCCGACACGCCCGCGACGTCCCGCAGGATCTTGAGCACGTAGCCGTCGGTCTTGACGTCGCGGGAGAACCGCGACCGGTCGCCCGCCTCGGGCGTCCAGTCGAGCGACGCGACGAGGTGGTCGACCGCGGAGCCGCCGCTGCTCCGGCCCCGCACGTCCTCGCCGACGCGCAGCTTCGCCGTCTTGACGAGGAGCCGCGCCGGCGGGATCTTGCCGCAGAGCACGGCCGTCGCCGCGCGGACGAACGACAAAGCGTACGCCGGCGGCGGCCGCCCGAGCGCGCGCGCGCGGAAGAGCGCGTCGTCGCAGGTCGCCCCGTCCAGGTGCTCGCGCAGGGCGCAGAGGAGCACGTCGAGGCCGCCGCCGGCGTCGATGTTCGGCGACGCGGCGACCTTCTTGAGCACGCGGACGGCCGCGTCCTCCTGGACGCCGCCGCGGCCGAGCGCGGACGGCCGCCGCTCCATGAGCGCCGTCGTCAGCGCGACGACGCGCGCCGCGAGGAGCCCCCCCGTGGCGCGGATCGCGCGCCAGTCGAGGCAGGACAGCGCGAAGAGCAGGGGCGCGACGCCGTCGAACGACGCCGCGCGGCCGTCGGCGACGTCCGCGATCTCGCGCTCCGCGGCGCCGAGGAGCGCGTCGAGCTCGCGGTCGTCGAGCGTCGCCGCGCCGGCGCCGTCCAAGTTCTCGTAGACGACGCTCGCCGGCGACGGGCCCAGCAACAGCTCCGACGCGTGTCCCGCGACCGCGAGCGCCGCGCGCGACGACACGCCGCCGCCGGCGCCGTCGCCGCCGAGGCCGTCGACGGCGGCGTAGGCGCAGCGCAGGGCCGCGAGGAGCAGCGTCTCCTGGTGCGTCGGCGCGTGGTCCCGGTCCGCGAAGAGCGCGCCGGCGAGGAAGAGGCCCGCGTTCGCCGCGTCGTCCCTGAGCGCGGCCGCGTCGCGCCGCGGCGCGCGCGCGCCGCCGCCGAGCTCGGCCTCGAAGGACGCGCCGCCCTCGAGGACGCGCGCCGCGTCGCCCCGGAGCGCCGCGAGCCACGCGGCGCCGCCGTCGTCGAGGTCCGGCGCCGCGAGGCGCGACCGCGGCGAGCCCGCGAGCAGCGCGGCCGCGGCGTCGAGGAGGCCCGGCAGGCAGAGGCGCGGCGCCCGGCGCAGGCGAAAGTCCCAGACGATGGGCAGGTGGTCGCTCGGGACGATCTCGTTGGGGAGCAGCCCGAGCCAGTCGCGGCGGTCGAGCGTGCCGGCCTGCGTGGAAATCAACCGGTGAGCTGGGACGTCGGGGCCAAACTCCAGAAATCTCCGGCTCGGTCACATCGAAGTCGATTCGGCTGATTTTTGGACGAATCGAGTGCTCTTGGCGAGTTCTCGAAGCACGGCAGTAGAGCTCGCGTCGAACCGGTCACATACGCTCACATTGAAGTCGGGTTGCATATTTGATGTCCACGCGGGCGCGCGCCGCGCGGTCCTCGCCGTAGGCGCCCGTCTTGTGCTCCCGGAGGTGGAGGGCGAGGTGGCCCGCGTCGAAGAGGTCCTTGCCGTCGTAGAAGACGTGGTCGATGAGCTGGTAGTCGTCCTCGCCGATCTTCGTCGGCTGGCTCGACGCGGCGCCTGTGTGGAATTCAACCACTGGTTTGGGTGGTCCTGACCAAACTTCAAACCTCTCTAGCTCGGTCAAAATCGAAGTCGATTCGGCTGATTTTTGGACGAATCGATTGCTCTCGTCGAGTTCTCGAAGCACAGCCGAAGAGCTTGCGTCGAAACGGTCGCATACGCTTACATTGAAGTCGGGTTGAAGATTTGATTTCCACACGGCGCGGCGCCTCGCATCTTCCACACGGACACGGGCCGCTCGCCGGGCGCCGCGCCGTCGTAGTGGGCCGCCCAGACGCTCCGCAGCAGGGGCCGCTCCCGCAGGAAGGTGCGCAGCGCGTTGCTGTGGCCGGGCACGCCCACGGGGTTGCCGAGCGCGCGCGCCGGGTCCTCGAAGTCGAGCTCCGTGTTCGCGTCCATGCACCAGACCTGCAATCACATCTTCAACCCGACTTCAATGTGCGCGTAGGAGCAAGTTTCGACGTGAGATTTTCTGCTGTGCTTCGAGAACTCGACGAGAGCGATCGATTCGTCCAAACATCAGCCGAATCGACGTCGATGTGACCGAGCTCGAGAAGTTTGGCCGGAAGAACCCGACCGGTGATTGATTTCGGCACGGCACCAGACCTCCGGGTAGCGGCTCTTGCCCCAGAGCCCCCGCAGCTCCGCGAGGCGCCGCACCTCCTTGTTCTTGCCCGAGCTCAGGTGCGTCGCGGTGACGTGGACCGCGTGGCCGCGGTACGCGGGGTCCAACAGCTCGAAGCGGAGCCGGACGGCCGCCGCGTCGCCGCGGGCGTTCCCGAGCTCCTCCGCGGCGCCCGTCGCGTAGGCCTCGACGTCCTTCTCGCCGGGCAGCACGCGGAACTCGGGGCCGTCGACGAGCTTGAGGCGCGACGCCTTCCAGAACACGGCCGTGCCGTCGTCGTCGGTGCCGTACGCCTTCCCGCAGATGGGGCCCTTGGTCCGGTTCTCCAGGAAGAAGCGCGCGTTCGACTTGCCCTTCTTCTTGGGCTTGGCGTCGGTCTTCGGCGCGAAGGCGAAGCGCGACGCGTTCAGCTTCTCCGCGTACGTCGCGCCGGCGCGATCCTTCAAAGGGACGTACGCGTCGTCGCCCTCGGCGGCGCACGCGTAGCCCATCTCGCCGAGCCGCTCGCTCAGGAATTCAAAGTTGTCGCACTCCTGCACGCAGAAGACGTCCGGCTCGGCGACGGCGACGAACCAGAGCACGCCTACGTAAAGGGAGCGCCGGGTTTTCGCGTGGCGGAACGTAAAAAACGCGCGAGCGCGGCCGCGTCGACGTCGCGCGGGCCATCGTTGGACGCATCCATGGCGCTCGAAGCGACGCGCGCGCGTCGACGCGGTCGCACGTCGAAGTTGGACGGTTTTGTTTGAAGTTTGAAGTTTTTGTTTGAAGTTTTTGTCGCGCGGGCGCGCGCGGAGCAGTCGGTGGCCGACGGACGTGACGGCCGCCTCGTTGACGGACATCTGGCCGGACCCGTCGTCGGACGTCGACGCCGGCGAGTACTTGGCCTTCAGCTCGAGGCCCACGGCGTTCTTCTCGTCCTTGCCGGCGCACTTCTTCATGCGCGTCATCGTCTCAGCGGCCATGCTCGCGAAGGCGACGTAGTCCCGCGACCCCTCCTCCCAGATGACGTTGCGGTGCCCCCGCGCGTAGAGGTCCGCGGCGCGCGCGACGTCCGTGGACACGAGGTCCGCGAGGAAGGCCTCGAAGCGCGCGACGTGCTCCGCGGAGACGAGCGGCATGAGGAAGCCGTCGGGCGTCAGGCCCTCGGCCAGCAGGTTCCACTGCATGACGCGGAGCGACCGCGCGGCCCCGAAGGCCCGGGGGATGGCGCCGTCGCAGGGCAGGTGCTCGAAGTGCTTGCCCCAGCCCCGGGCCCAGTGCTCGTCGCCGAGGTAGCGCGGGTCCACGCCCGCGGACCGCATCTCCTCGCGGAACGCCGCGTGGAGCGCCCGCACGCCGTCGGCGCCGGCCTTGAAGCGCACGACGGCCTGGATCTTCGACGCCGCCACGGCGGCGACGGCCGTCGACCAGCGGCGCGCGGGGCCGTCGGCGTCGTCGGCCATTGCGGCCATTGGCAGGCACCGATCCGAGCGCGCTTCACCTCAAACATTGACGGCAATGCTGCCGCGCTCGCTCCGAGCGATGTCCGCGGCCAGCGCAGCGCGGTGCGCCGCCGTCGCGGCGGGCGCGTTCGCGAGCCAGGCGGCGCGCACCGAGGAGGCGACGTCGACCGCGCCGGAGGAACCGGAGCTGCCGGTGCCCGGCGTGACGCCGCGCGAGCACAGCGTCCCGCTCTTGGCTGTTTTTTTTTGTGGCAAAAACCCGCCGCGCAGGTTCGTGGGCCTCTTCCTCGACGACGCGTCGCGCGCGCGCCTCGCCGCGACGTGGCCGGCGAGCGCCGGCGCCCGGAGCGCGTCCTACGTGCTCCTGGAACCGGCCGCGCGCGTCGCGGACCCGAAACTGCCCGCGGTCTACGCGCCGCTGATGCAGGAGCGGGCGACGGCGAAAGTCGCCGCGACGACGCGACTCCCGTCCGGCGCGCTCGCGCTGACCATGGCCTGCGAGCTCAACGGGTCGGCCCTCGAGGGCCTGGAGCACGTGCCTTGCGCGTCGTTCGGACATCTCGGCGGCGAGGACTCGGACGGCGACGCGGACTACGCGGCCGCGGAGCTGCGCACGAACGCCGGCAACTCGGCGCCCTACGCCTGGGGCGACGATCCGCCCCTGTCCGGCGTCATCTGCAAGTCCGAGTACTTCGTCGACGGCGAATGCCACCTGCCGCCGATGCTGAAATGCCCGCTCTGCCAGTTCATGGAGGACTCGCCCTGCGCGGCGCCCTTCAAGGTCTGGGAGGACTGCCTCAACGCCTGCGAGGGCGGCGACGGCGACGACGACGCGCGCCAGGAGAAGTTCATGGCCGAGTGCGCCGAGCCGACGCTCGCGCTGAAGGCCTGCGGGAGAAATACCCGGACCACTTCGG